ACATCACAGGAGAATTCTGACTTTTTTTTTTAGGAAAATACATATTTCACTTAATGTTTTTCATACATTTTGCTTAATTTTGCATAATTTGCATTAATATTAATTTTGTGTCTTATTTTCATCATGTCACAACCATGTCTCCTTGGTACGGAGCCCCTAAATAATGGTGAACGTAAAAAAAAAAAAAGAGAGAGATAGGAGGAAAAAATATATTTGAATGCTTTTGAGTTTTCTGACAAAAGTGTTACGTTCCCCAGAGAAACGTTACTTTTGCTTGCAAAACTTTTTAATTTACTCGGAAGTGTTTTGTGATGAAAATAAAATGAGGTGGGAGGAAAAACTATATTTCATAAACTATGAGTTACTCAATACTTTTGCGAGAGAACATGAAATTGAAATAGTTTTTCTGCCCATCATATATTTTTCGTCTTAGGGGCACCATGCCTTGGTAAACAAGTACACTAAAGGCCCGTTCACACCAAGCACGATAACTATAAAGATAACGATAAAGATATAGATCTAAAAATCGTTCTCAATATTAAAGAATAGCAGAGTCCACACCACAACTATAACGATAAAGGCACAGAGAAATGATATAGTTGGAATCACTTCCAGAACGATTTTTTCCAGCTGATGAATGATACAAAGATTGACAGCCAGTCAGAATCCATTCTGCTATAGCTCGAGAATTTAAAGCAGCAGACGCACGTGCACTTAAAATAAACAGATGATATCGTTCGCTGGTGTGGACGCTAATATCGTTATCTTTATAGTTATCGTTCTTGGTGTGAACAGGGCTTAACTTGAGAAAAATATTACATGAATGTTTTATAAAATATTTAAATCTTTCAAACATGAAAATACTTAATTCTTTGTTTAGATGATAGTTCTAAACACAGTTTCCCATTCCTATGGATTTTCATAGTTTAATATTGAAAGTATCAAAAATAAATGGTGAAGGCTTGATTAAAAAAAGTTTCTAGACCTTGACCTTCAAATAACTTCACATAAATTGAAATATGTTTGTTTTAATAAAAAATCCACACATGGGACATTCAGCTTGCTCGAAGTTGAAGAAACCCATAAATTGTTCACATCCATAAATCCTTCAATTTTATTATTTCAAATATTCCATTCTATATCTTTACCCAGAACCTCCCCATATCGCACTGTCTGAGGAGAAACTGATATTTCAGGATTCAACACCGCAGAAACTGAGCTGCCATTGTCATCGCTACTATCCTCTGGATGTGCAGGTCAGCTCACAATCAGATGATCATATTTTGATCTTGTTTTGGAGTTGTGTCCTGACAGCCCTGTGCTCCTGTAGGTAGAGTGGTTTTCCCAGGCACCGTCTGAAGAAGAGCCTGTCTCTTTGTCAAAAGAATCCTCCCTCTCCAGTCATCGGCAGCACAATGATGGAACATATTCCCTGTCCTCTCACCTCACCCTACGGCCCGACAAAAACCCACCCGGGACGGTTATCACCTGTAGGGTCTCTCATCCAGCCCTAGAAACTCCGAGTGATGCCACTCTGACTGTGGACAAACCTAATCCAGGTAAGTGATTTTTTTTGTGTTAGGTTACCCATGATATTTTCACAAATATGATTTGTGTAAATTCAATGTTGATCATAGAGCAAACTAGTCAATAAAAAACGAGTCATTTTCATATGCAAAGTAGTTGAATGTAAAATCTGTAAATCTGTTAAATTTCTTAATTTAAATATTCATGAAGCTGTTGAACTTTTTTAATTGAACAGACACAGTCTTCTGGACAGTAGTCTTAATGTTGGCGATATCAGTGGTGTTTTTGTATCAAGCATTCAGAGGTGCAGGTGAGTTTAGCTTTTTAAAACATTCACATGCAACTATATATAATATTAACTATATATTCTACCGTTCAAAACAATATTTTTTTTTTTACAGAAATTAATAGTTTTATGCAGCAAGGGTGCTTTAAATTGTGACAGTAAAGCGTATTTTTATATTGATACAAAAAAAAGTTTTTACTTAAATGTTCTTTTTTAACTTAATCAAATAATCCAGGGGGAAAAGTCCGTTTCCACAAAAATATTAAGCATAATGTTTTTAACATTGATAATGATAAGAAATGTTTATTGAGCACCAAAAAAGGTAGTGTATACTGTATAAGACCACACAATGGTGAGAAGACAACGTTAAATGTATTATTGAATTATCATTATTTGTCTTTTAAGAGAACTGAGGACCAGTCTTCTGTGTGATCTCTTGGAACGAGCCATCTTACGTTTTCTTTTTTACTTCATCTGTCCGCAACTGTCTTCAAATGGGTTTATTTTCATTCCGTCATGGTACATTTGTTTAATAGAAGTTGTCAAAATCAATTTCCTGCATAAGTTATTCTATAAACATAAAATTAATTAATTAATAAACATTAATTAATAATGTTCTAATCTATTGGATGTTGTTTATTTGTTGTACATGTTCCTTGCTTTTGTGAAATAAAAACAACAGAAAAGGTTTTGTCGATGGTTTTATTGGCATCATTAAAGTATCAGGGGCATCTAAGCATGCTGTTTTTGCTATTAAAATCTAATACTGGCATCAGAGCTGATGGCATTACCCCTCTGTGATGGTATATGCTTTCATTCATATTTATACATATAATTTGTCATCATATTTAGTTTGTCTCACTTGATCTTACAAGAGAAAAATAGACATGTCTACATTCTCCAACAAACTATAAAAGTCTGTGCTGTGACGAAGGAATGTGAAAACCAACAGTTGTATATTGCATGGCAGTATACAGGTACATCTCAAAAAATGAGAATATCATGAAAAAGGTCAATATTTTTTGTCACTCATTTCAGAAAGTGAAACCCATATATTATATAGATTCATTACACATAGAGTGAAATATTTCAAGCCTTTATTTCTTGAAATTTTGATGATTATGGCTTACAGATAATAAAAACCCCAAATTCAGTGTCTCAGAAAATTAGAATATTGCGAAAAAGTTAAATATTGGAAAGTCATGGTGTCACACCCTAATCAGCTATTTACCTCAAAACACCTGCAAAGGTTTCCTACATCAGCGCATCAAGAGCCACTACACACAGACGAATCCTAGACATGGGCTACAAATGTCACATTCCTCGTGTCAAACCACTCCTGAACCAGAGAATGTCAGAAGCGTCTTACCTGGGCTGTGGAGAAAAAGAACTGGACTGTTGCTCAGTGGTCCAAAGTCCTCTTTTCAGAAATGGAAATCAAGGTCCCAGAGTCTGGAGGAAGAGTGGAGAGGCACAGAAACCATGTTGCTTGAAGTCCAGTGTGAAATTTCACAAGTTTCACAAGGCTGCCATGTCATCTGCTGGTGTTGGTCCACTGTGTTTTCTGAAGTCCACAGTCAACGCAGCCATCTACCAGGAAATTTTAGAGAACTTCATGCTTCCTTCTGCTGACAAGCTTTATGGAGATGCTGATTTCATTTTCCAGCAGGATTTGGCACCTGCCCACACTGCCAAAGGTACCAAAAGCTGGTTCAATGACCATGGTGTTAATGTGCTTGATTGGCTAGAAAACTCGCCTGACCTGAACCCCATAGAGAATCTCTGGGGTATTGTCAAGAGGAAGATGAGAGACACCAGACCCAACAATGCAGATGACCTGAAGGCCGCTACCAAAGCAACCTGGGCTTCCATTACACCTGAGCAGTGCCACAGGCTGATTGTCTCCATGCCACGCCGCACTGATGCAGTAATTCATGCAAAAGGAGGCCCAACCAAGTATTGAGTGCATAGAAATGAACATACTTTTCAGAAGCCTGACATTTCTGTTTAAAATATCCTTTTTTTTAATTGATTTTATGTAATATTCAAATTTTCTGAGACACTGAATTTGAAGCCAAAATCATCAAAATTTCAAGAAATAAAGGCTTGAAATATTTCACTCTATGTGTAATGAATCTATATAATATATGGGTTTCACTTTCTGAAATGGGTTAAAAAGGAGAAAAACCTTTTTCATGATATTCAGACACCAGACCCAACAATGCAGATGACCTGAAGGCCGCTACCAAAGCAACCTGGGCTTCCATTACACCTGAGCAGTGCCACAGGCTGATTGTCTCCATGCCACGCCGCACTGATGCAGTAATTCATGCAAAAGGAGGCCCAACCAAGTATTGAGTGCATAGAAATGAACATACTTTTCAGAAGCCTGACATTTCTGTTTAAAATATCCTTTTTTTTTATTGATTTTATGTAATATTCAAATTTTCTGAGACACTGAATTTAAAGCCAAAATCATCAAAATTTCAAGAAATAAAGGCTTGAAATATTTCACTCTATGTGTAATGAATCTATATAATATATGGGTTTCACTTTCTGAAATGGGTTAAAAAGGAGAAAATTCGAAGAATGGATTTAAAGGGGAGGTCTAATGCTATTTCATGCATTCTGAGTTATTTACACTGTTAAAGTGTTGGATTCTCATGCTAAACATGGCCAAAGTTTTTTTTTTAAATGCGTTGGACGTATGACGTTGGAGTATTTCTGTGCCAAAGACACTCCATCAGGGTTTGTATAAGTTTCGGGAAGTTTTTTTTCCAAGTATGGCCCTCCTGTTTATACAAATTAACTAATTAACACTAGCAGCTGAACAGAACAAAATCACTGAGCAAAGCATAAGCAACAAGCACTGACCTATTTACTCCTGCATGTTAGTTCATTAACACTTCTGAGTACATTCTGAGCTATTGTAGTATTACTTCTAGTATTTATTAATACTTTGAATTCGTTTTCATTTTTAGTTTAAGTTTGTTACGTGCTGTTGTGTTACGTGCTTTGTGTGCTTTTATTTTTCTTTAAATATTTCTATATAACTTTATTTTTAGTTCAGTTTTAATATTTTAGTACATCAACTTCAGCTTAAATATTATATTTCATCTAATATTTATATTTTATTTTAGAAAACACTGGAGTACATCATATAATTTCCTGTTAAATTTGGTGTGTTTCACTTTTTCACTGTAAATCCCTTTGGTTAATTATTAATTGAAATGACGAAGTAATAAGTAATATCCTGTATGAGCGCTAAGCTGATTTCAAGCAGTCACGATGACTCACCTTGCAATTCTTCCACCAGTATTTGTTCTTCAGTTTGGCAGCACAGCTTTCGAACTGTGACACCCCGGCCTGTAGAGCATCTGCCCTGTCGTCCAGCTCAGAGAGCTTCTGGTCTCTCTCCAGAACCTTATCCACATTCACACGCATGATATCCACCACCTGCAGACCACAACCACAGAAAGACATGAGACCAGAAAGAACGACACTGAATACTTGTTGCAATATCATTGATTTGTATTTTGGTCATTCGAAATGATGTATGTGCAAAACTGCACAAATTCATGCTGTCCTGTGCATATATAATGCTTCCATTTTTTGTCCATAAACTCTTTACACACAAACACACACTCACCTCCTCCACTTGTCCTTGTGTCTGCTGCAGTCGGCGGTTGCTGGTGGTGTTTGGAGGGGGAGCAGGAGGACCGGCTCCTCCAGGGCCACCTGGGGCTCCAGGAGCACCTGCTGGGTGGGCATCATCTGCAGCAGACCTGAACATTCAAAGAGAACCAAGACAGATTTATAAAAAAATAAAAAAAAGTTGCTGCTTGGTGCACAAGTTATGGTCTGATGTTCCAGTTAGAGTATTTCAAACAAGAGTATGTGTTTCTGAAAAGAGATTGACTACTATATTAATTATAAGGTCTAAATTAGTGGTCGACCAATATGGGGTTTTCAATGTCTTATACTAATCATGTACACACACATATGATACAGGTTCATTAAAAAAAATGTATTTTATAATTATTATTTTTTTTACATTTAAAATCCGTATAAGCCTCAATACCAAGGAGGTCTATCTTATATCTTTGGTCTATCAACATTTTTTAATTATAAATATTTAATCTTGATTGTCACTGATGCTAAGAGAGACCTCACTGTATATAGGCATAGTCATAATTTTGTATACCTGCATGACAACAAATCTTCAACAAATCAATAGAAATTTAAGACACATTCCTGGGAAATTAAGCTTGAAAACTGTTAACAACGTATGTAAGTAACTGTATGCAAGGGTATATTTCATAGGCCTGTAATTGTAACAAATCCAGCAGAATACAAAGTCTGAGCAAATACTTACATTCTCGTGCAGCTGTTTCAGAGTGCCACACTGAAGGAGAAAAGGCAAAAGGTGATACAATTCAAATTTAAATTTCGAAGAAGAGGTAGAGATGTTCAGATATGAAGGGAGAGACTGAGATGCAAGGCTGAAGCGAATCGACGCTGAAGTAGGACCCCCACGCGAGTCATCAGTGTCACAGTGAGAGCGCTCGCGTAGAGATGTTCAGTTTCGCCTTGAGGGAACTCCAGGAATGGATTTTTAGGGTGACCAGTTTGCTCTCTAAAACTTAAAAAAGAACGTGAATGAGAGAAGCTATAAACATACAGAAAGCAGCACTGGATCGGGTCGCTGCGCTGTTCTTCGGTTGTGTTGGTTTATAGGTTAGTGTAGCGGCATCGCTGCTGTAGCTGAACTCATGAGGATGAGGATGCCCCATCCTCTCTCTCTCTCTCTCTTTACTGCGGTACATCAGTGAATTCAGAGTGCTGAGTCGGCTTGTTCTCTCTTAAGCCACTTTTCTTCTCCATGAGAACTGGTTTCTCCACACTCCCCGCATGCTATTTTCCTCATGACCTGCAGAGTCTATCAAAACAGGACAGATTTCTGACCACATCAATGCACTTAACCCATTTTGGGTTACTGTATTTAAAGAAAAATGCTGCATGCTATTTATAACATGATAAAGATCTGTTAGCTATAGACAGAATGCAGCACCAAATCTTGTTTTTATACAACAGTAATTTGTGAAATGGGAAATGTGAAGAAACCCAGAACAAAATCAGTGCCCATTTAAACATGTTTTAGTCCAATTTAGAATGGATCTGTATTTTGAGAGTAGTGATATATAAAGAGTGATATTTATTCATTTAGAGGGTCTGTCACACAGCTTCAGTGATGTTTAACCCTCATATAACGCATCCGGGTCCGTTTTGACCTGTGAGAGATATATAAACATTTCTAAAAACTGCATAGTTTTTAGTAGTGGATTGAAACCTTGCAAGTGTGTTGAGGCCTTCAATCATTCTCTTTTTTTTAAAGAGATATAACCATTTAAAAAAATGTGTGGACCCGGGTATGTATAGAGTACCATTAGGTGTCAAAAATACTTTTTGTTAAATTATCTATCAAGTTAAATTAGTGTTTTAAAAAAAAAAAACTTTTGTAAAATATGTTTAGCATTTTACACATATTTCACACTTTGGGACTGAATTTTGCAGTTTTTTCATCTGAAAGTTTACATTTAGTCATTTAGCAGACGCTTTTATCCAAAGCAACTTACAAATGAGGACAATAGAAGCAATCAAACTAACAAAAGGGCAATAATATGCAAGTACTGTGAAAAGTCTCGGTTAGCCACATAGCATGTTTTTTTTTTTATTATAATAAATAAAAATAAAAATATTTGTATTTATTTTTTAAAGACGACAGGTATATATAACAGAAATATAATAGAGATTGCTAGAGTTAGAGCGTCAAGATGGAAGAGATGTATTTTTAGCCGTTTCTTGAAAGGACTCAGCTGCTCGGATCGAGTTGGGCAGGTCATTCCACCATTCAAGTCATTCAGTTTATGCAGGTAAAATTTATTTATTTTGTTTTAAAACTTTTCATAGTAATATTTATGTTGTTTTGATTAGAATTAAATAATTAGCATTGAAAAAATTGGACTGTTTTTGAGCAGTCATGAGTTATAAAGTCAAAGGAATTTTATCATTTTTAACAACTTTAGAATTGAATAGTTTTATGCATTAATTTAATAATTTCTCTTGTCTTTTAATCAAAAAGGGGTAAATGCAGTACAAACATATAATAACATGGCACTCTTCAGATTCCCTTAACCATAACAAAGCCCTTTATTATAAAAGGAACTGAAAATAGTGATACAAAATCGACAAAGAAAGAAATCCAAAAACCACAAGGGAAACTATAGTTGGTTGGCATGAAATCACTAGCAAATAAACACTGAAGTGAGCACTACTATGGTGAAGTAGTTTTGTCTGACATTTTTTTCTGCTTCACCAAATATGTTCAGATCAGATGTTACTTAGATGATACTTAAAAGGAACAAATGAAGATGCTCATTCACCATTACATGTAAGAAGTATTTTTTGGGATATTCTTTTCTTTCAGTAGAGTTTGTTGTTAGTCTGTTCTGTTGTTCCTCTCTAACATTTGTAAAGAAAACTCATTAACTCAGTTATTCTTGCTGTTTTTTGTTTTTTATCATATATGAATTCGGTGTTCATTTCTATCCATAATCCAGTAGGAAACCTTTCATCAGTTGTATTTGCCCTTGTCCTCTGTCAGTCCAGACACATCTTATTCCTCTATTTCTTCTCATCATCTTTCTTGCCCTCAGGTGGTTTTGTTCTGTTCTGGGACGCCAGAGAGCCCATGGCATTACGGATGGCTTCATTGTTGGGGTCGACACCTGGAAGGTTCTCCAGCACACTCTGCAAAAACTCTGGATCCTGCATCACATCATAATCCTCCTCATCCTCCTACAAAACACACAAAGAGTTTCAACTGGGATGTTTCATGCACTTGTCCTGGGCATAGTTGTATGTAATTATAAACTTACCTCTTGACAAATTAAAGGCAGTAACTAATATATATATGTTACAAATTAAATGCATAAATTTAGCAGCTCAGTATAGATTAGCCGCTTCCTCGGATTAGCAGTTCCAAATTTAATCAGTTTAGCTCCAGGTTTTCTTGGAAAAACATAAATATCTCACTGGCTACAAGGTCAACTTCAAGAACACAACCGGCAAAAATATAAATCCTCCATATAGCGCAACAGTGACTGTCAATTTTTCTGTGGCTTGGGTTCCAGAAGTATTTTCCCATTCATCTTTTTCCATAGGTTTTATGAAGAAAAAAAAAGTATTTTTTCAAGACCAAACCAACCAGCTACAAGGTGAATCACAACATTACAAACTTTCATTTGAAGCAAAAAAGTGTTTGAAAATCAGACAAAAGTACAAGACTGTGTATTTAACTGAGTGTACTTAACTAGTTAATGAGGAAAAAAATTGCAAATATATAGACATACAAATGTGTGTGTGTGTATTAGGGCTATGCGATATTGAAGAAAAATGCGATATGCGATAACTCATTAAATAATGCGATATTCGATATGCGACACGATAATGCTTAAAGTGCCACATGCTCAAATGAAACAGTTTTACTCAGCTGTTGCCGAGTCAGTTCTGTGAACTTCTATATCTTGTATCATATATACAGGTGCATCTCAATAAATTAGATTTCGATATATTGCACAGCCCTAGTGTGTATGTATATTAAAATGTATATTACATTTATTAGCATAGGGATATTATTTAATACAGAAGTTGAAATAATGAGGACTGATGGATTCAACAAAAGCATGTACCATCGATTAACAACCTCAAATCTCACAGTAGGTCTGTCTTATTTGTACATAAGTTATCGTGAAAATTCATTTCCCCTATGGAGAAAAGGAATTCGATTATTTTTTTCTTATGTGCAGTTATAGTATGGCAAGATCAAACCTGCTCTCATACAGCACTTCATTTAGACAGAACCAAAGACTAAAACATAACTTTCCTAAAACTGCCTTGCAATCACTGGTATTTCCCTTCAGTAGATGCAAATCTAAATCAGCATTTCTGTTTTGTGTGGTTTTGGCTGGCTGTATCAAGTTTCGCAATAGCTTCTGAATAATGGGTATGAAGAATATGTCGCTGCTTTTGATTATTCTCACAACATGACTGTGCTCAAAATTCTGATCTCCTCTCTAGAAGCAAAGCAGACATGGTTTGAGGAAGAGATCTGGGAAACACACCTTAGGAGCTTCACTGTCTGCTGCTGCACCTGTGTCCACATCCATGGCCTCTGAACTGCCAAACTCTGTGCACAAAAGACAATCATTAGTTGTATAAGTCAAAAGGGAAGAAAAATTATTAGGCAAATGAAGAATAAAGCCTCGTGCACACCAGGACGATTATCGCTTGTGCTTATCGTCAGCGTTTTTTGACACGTTTTGTGTGCTCATACCCAAACGATTTTCACTGGCGATGAGCCGAGTGAACGTGCAAATTCACTCCCTGACATTAGATGGCGCTTAATGAAAAACAGAAATACCCCGGTACACATCGAATCCTATTTGTTCTGCAATTCCTCTCCATAACAACTCCCTCTTATCGAGATTTTTGTAGGACTTCGCTGTCGCATTTGTCATAAAGCTATTTGTGTTCAGACACCAATGAGACCAGTAGCTCTACATTCATCTTGCCTCGATGTTTCTTCTTCATCTACTTACTTCCTCTTCGTTTTTAGGTATCAATTGTGTGCTCGGCAAGACCGTTTTGTGCTTGAGCGTCACCAAGTCGTGTTTTACTGTAACTTCTGCAGCTCTAGGCACGTAAACAAAAGCGCCAATCTCATTGGTCGGCCAGTTTTTAACGATTCGCGTCAAACCAAAAAACGAGCCAGAGGCATTTATAAAAATTAAAAAAAAACGCTTTTACCCCTGCCGTTTTGTGCACATTAAACGTTACGAGGCATTAAACGTCGGCAATAATCACGCGCGATAATCGTCCCGGTGTGCACAAGCTTTTTTAGAATTTATGAAGAGTACAGAGACTGACCTCCTCCTTGCATGGACATCTGTAGGGCGTATGCGATCTGTTCATCCTCTGTCATGCGGCTGAAATCAGGCAGAGCAGGAGCTGTCGACATCTTCAGCAGGGCATTTTCAGACTCTAACAAAAGCACAGAATACATCTGGTCATATTAAACTAGGGATGTAACGGTATGAAAATTTCTTATCACGATTATAGTGACCAAAATGATCACGGTTATCAGTATTATCATGGTATTGTTAAAATGTGCTGGAGATGTTCAAAAAGTACAGACACATAAATCACTTCAAGTTTTATATTTAAAAATCAACAACAAATAAAATGAGTTTTTGTTTGGATAATCACTAAAACAATAACATTACCAATGATGTTCGGATTTTAAATGACAACTTGACTGACAACAGTTTAATAGCATGTTGAAATATCTAATGTAAATGTTCAAATAAAGCTTTGAAAAAGTTTCATAAAAAAGGTAAATCTCACATTTCAGCCTTTAAATAAAGAAAAGGTATGTCAAAATGATAATTGATAAATAAATGATTATATGTATTTTATAACTTATCTGAATTGTTTAAATGTGTAGAATCTACATAAGCTTGTTTTTCATCAACCATTTTTTTGGCCAGACAGAAACTGCACACAGGCTGAATGTAAATATAAGTCTCTGTAAATCCACTCGCTGACAGCAGGTGGCGCTTATGGAACAGCTGAATTAGAGCTGTTTCCCGTAACCTCCGTGGACAAAGCAGTATTGTGATTAAGAACACTTCCTTTAGGAGTGAAGATGAAAACAAAATGCCATCGAATCGTTTCTGAATACTGTCAGAACCATCAGAGGTACATTCATATAATTCATTAATATATTCATTTGTATATTTCCATTAGCACTCTTTTAAAACCTCCAGCTTTCCCGCCCTGTTTTCACTCAAAACGAAACTACTCTGCATGCTGTGCGCACGTTTATCTCCCGAACCCCGGGGGCTATTAATTGGTCTTGTGGTCTCATTCGAAAGAGGGCCTCGTGACGTACACTCGATTCGCGAGGGTTCCTTGAACTGAAGAGATCCCCCGAATTTGGTGTGGATTCGCCGCGCCGTTATGGAGATATGGCCGTTCAAATTTCAATGGTTTTCCACTGACTTAAGCTTTAAAGCGTTTCATCCAGGTCGCCAGTAGCAAACAATGGAGCGCGTTCTGCTGGACAAACTAAGTAATTACACCATTGCAAGCATTTTATCTGCATTATATGTTCTGTAAAAAAAAAATTAATATCCAGAGCGAGCTCAGGGTCTGCGCTGGGATCAACTCCAAACTCAAAGTCACTGGCACCCAGGCCCATAATGGTGCCACCCTCACCAGCCATGACAGGAGAGGACAGAAGAGCATCTGCCAGGCTTGGGCCAGGAGGCACCGTTACCAGGTGAGAGCCTACGCCCTCTTTTCCATTTAGGGTGTTCACAAACATGGTCAGCTTATCCGTGTTGACCTCCTGCAATGCAAAAGAGTAAAAACTAAATCGTGCAGATAGTAAAATGACATGAAAGATGAGAAGCACATTCTGGAGGAGTGTGATAAACTACATTCCCTAAGAATAATGTGTTAACCTCTTCTCCAAAGTTAATGATGTCAACACTGACTTTTTCCTTCTTCAAACGTTTTGCCATCTTCACCAACTGAGTGAGACAGGTCGGAGACACAAATGAGCAGGTGAATAACACATTGCATTGGCCTTTGTAAATACAAACTCATATGGTGCAACTTTTACACCAAGATACATGAAGAAAAAATAACTCACATCTTTCTCCTGGTCCTCCACAGGGCTTCCCACAAACACACTAAAAAAAATTATACAGAAACAACAATTTTCACTCAGAAATTTAGTACATTTCACAATTACAAAGAAACCGCAAGTAACACATTAAATTAAACATTTTGAAGTAGAAAAACTTTTGCTGTGTGTGTCTGTATACACACAAACATTTAAAAATCTTATTCTTTTCAATCTTTTGAAATAAAAGACTAAAATGTTGTATTTGAATATACTGTAATGTTTCAACTTAAAACTTATGGTTCCTCACTAATCCAAAAATGTCAAAATAATGAAATGAAAATAACTCGGAATTTCTGTAACCTTCTGAGGTTTAACTTTGTTACCATTTCACATTCAAATAGATCATAACAAAAAATGTCCAGATGATATAAGGCTGAAAAGTTAGTCACAATAATCAAAACATAAGGCTCAGACAGAGGACGTAAAATTGGTCATGTAAACGATAAATTATGTGGACTTTACGGACAATACATATCTATATGTATGTACTGTCTGTAAAGTCCACATAATTTATCATTTACATGACCAATTTTACGTCCTCTGTCTGAGCCTTATGTTTTGATTATTGTTACTGTAACTTTTCAGCCTATTTGAATGTGAAATGGTAATAAAGTCAAACCTCAGAAGTTCACAGAGATTTGGAGTTATTTTGACAACTTGATATCAATAAATGCCATTTTTGGACTAATATAAATAAATACATTCTAAAACAAGTAAATAAATACATAAAAAATGATGATCCAGCCCACTCACATGTGCTACTCTGATGCCAGTACAGAAGCTGATGACTCCTCTGGGCTGGACAGCGTGAAGCTTTGACAGGATCCTGCCCGTGTCAGGGGTCAGCGTGGTCAGGACCTCACAGTTACTAAAACACACACACAGTGGATCTCCTATTATGCATCTTCTACAGATCTAGTTATACAAAATATCACAAATTACACCTGTTAATAAAACACAATTTAAAAAAAATCTTCAACCTACTTGGCCAGAGTGATGAGCCCCACGTTGTTTTCTGGGTTACTTCGAGTCTTTGAATGGCAGATGATGTTGACAGCGTCCTGCTGGGCCTGAAGTCTGGTAGGTAAGAAGTCTCCATTGCGCATATATTCACTGTTGTCCACACTAGAAATAATAAACATACACAGTGATGTCCTCTCTGCCAAATATGAGTCTGCAAATGAACAAACGAAGCCTAATTCTCCACGTAAGTGTTCTATTTCATATTTAAATATAAGATGTAGTTTTAGTACACAAACTGCAAGTACAAAGAAGGATTTTAAATCCTGTCTTGACAGTACAATAGCCTAGACATAGAATAGAATTGAACCAACCAACCCATTTATGATTTAAACAGAAATTTATTTCATAAAATGACAACTCAGAAGGCCTGCCAGTCGTAACTGTGAGCTTTCTAACGTGTTCTCTCATAACATGTCAACACAGAGAAGCTGTTTAACAGGCTCAATGTTCCATCATGACTCAGGAAAACTGCACAACTGTCCTTTTGCTCAACGCGACCTTTCTCTCACCTCCAATAAACACTGTTTCCCAAATAATTGCGTAATAATTTAAACACATAACGTTTAGCAAACTACATCTGATATTTGAAGAATATAAAGTATATTTTTTCTTACCAGACCATAGTACTCTCAAGCACCATCTTGGAAATGTTGTCGCTCTGTGTGACGTAAGCACGTAAGTGAACTATCATTGGTTAATGTAGCGCTGAACGATAGGAATTATGGGGAACGTAGTTCATTGTCTAGTTCAAAACGAATTTTCCATTCGAGTCTCAACTAATTTTGGTCAAATCTGTATTCATTTCAGACATAGGTTATTTCACTTAGATCTGCAGTGTATGTCTGGTATAAGTTAATTTTAATTCTAGGAAAGGAAGAAAAAACTAATATAGCAAAAAATAATGGTTTGGAAAATATTTTATTCTTTTTAAATCAGAAAGACAATGTGAAAAAACAACATCGCCACATCACTGAAAGATGGTAGGAGAAACAGGCTGCGAACACCGCACAAGAAAAAGGCATTTCCGTGACTTGCTTATATATACATATTATATAGGCTACATGTTTTATACAGGCCCGGTAAAAATATAGACTTACGGTTGCCAGTCATTGTTCCTGACACCGCCAGACATTCACATGTTGAAAAGCTGAGGAAGAGCTTTCACAGATTGTAATGAACATACCCTTAACACATAAAATACAAAAATGATTTATATTGTCAAGAACTTCCCGCCGACCCCAAATAAAATACATACGACTTAGATCACAGAAACTGCTTTCTGCCAGATTACATAATACATACAATCATCTACGGTACATAGAGAATTCAAAATCCATACAGGTCCACAAAGTAAAAACAGAAGAGAAGAGAAACAAGACATTTCTTAATAAATACAATCGCTGACAAACATTGGCAGAAACGTTCATATTGCAGTAGGTAGGTTGTCTGTTTAGTGTCCACGTTGCCAGCGTTTAATCTGGTGTGCACTGTGCACGACTGATGTGTCTGTTGTGCAAATAACGGTTTCACTGTATTAATACAAACACTGGACAAAGCATATGAAACATGGCTGTCTCTGTTTGACTGCTCCCATTGCATTCACAATTTTACTTTCATTTTCATTACATTGGTATTTCCAGACCATAGATTCACTTTTGGAATATTAATGTCAAGATGTTAAGATGTTTTAGTGTGGTTTTAGAGGAGCAGAACATCATTCTAGCCCATAATAATAATAGATTAATCAGTACTGAGTGTTAGTCAGAGAAAGGCAGTGATTGTTGTGTCTTGAGGCCATAAACACATATTAATAAATAATTATAAAACCCACAAACAGAAGCAGAAATGAGAGGCCTCAATTGTGAAGACCAAAAAAAACATATACTGTGTGCTTAGACTATTGCGATTCTTGAAAACTACCCCACAAGCCAACTGTGAAATGAAGCCACTGAGAGCCGATCAACGATCAGTTTTTATGAATTTATGAGTTATGAATTTTAGAACATCAAATCTAAACAGGCCCATTAAAAAGAGGCATTGCACAGACCAGATAAAAGCACCACATTGGAAAGTGAAATGAATATGAACATTGTGTGCAAGGTTTTATAAAAGTAACTTAGCTCCATTATTATAGACCCAATATCTTTGAAATGAAAGGGGATAAAAATGAACTATAAAATGTAAAAATGTGAATCAGGGCATTGTTAATCTTACTGTACTGTAGGTCTCAGGAGTTAAATGTGAATATAGGTAACTTTTGACATTCACAAATAATCACATAAATTATTAAAGTTTAGAAACAGTGTCAAAACCTGCAATATGACACACACATACAAAAAGAAAATATGCCAGTAAAATAACAAAATGCATATCTTTGATTTTAATATCAGTGCCAAAGCAGATGTTGATACAAATCCTTAAATGTGTACTTGCAGAAGACAAACTGTAAGTTTAGATCTAGTTTTCAGAGATATTAGCTTGTTGTGGTGTTTTTTCTAGATTAAAAGTTTTGTGCAGCATTAAGGTGCATTATCAAAATGTTCTGTAACATGATTTAATGTGTAACATTTGACACGGACTTGAAAAAGTCACTGAAATGATTCAAACCAAAAGAGCAAAGCAAAAAAAAAAAAAAAAAAGAAAACTTCACAATACCCATTGACACAAACCCAATAACTTCTGTCCACAGGCATACAAATCAGATTTTTAACAAACATTAAAAAAATATCAAAAACAACTTGAATACGCATAAATACTGCATCCACTGTGAAGCTGTAGAGAACATTACTTCAATACAGTCTCGTGAAAGACTGTCAATGTACTTCCTGTGCATATTCTATCTGCATTTTCTTCAAAAGCAAATCCTTGGCAAAAGATCACTTCGGTCCCAAACCTGCATGATTTTAAGAGCTGCAGCTCACAAACTGTTTCATTTGGGACAACACAATACTGTTCAAGACTACAGTCAGCCCTTATTCTAAATACTTCAAGACTGCAATGCCAGTCTCAGAGCTGTGTGTAACACAGGCACGCAAGCCTGAAATCAGCTCTGACTATTGTTTGAGCTACAGCCAAAGAGAAACTGTAAGTAATCCCTGTCAAACGATAGATCCATTAAAAACCATTTCCTCTGTTAAACGTTATGAGCCAAATGGAAGCGATAATAGAAAGGCAGATTCACTGAGAGCTTTTACTGAGCCAAAGCTTTTCAGTTTTCTTTCCAGCTCCTCTATTATCTAAAGCAGAGGTGCCCAAACTCGGTCTTGGAGGGCCGATGTCCTACAGAGTTTAGCTCCACACTGCCTCAACACACCTGCCTGGAGGTTTCTAGTATGCCTAGTAAGAGCTTGATTAGCTGGTTCAGGTGTGTCTAATTGGGGTTGGATCTAAACTCTGCAGGACACCGGCCCTCAAGGACCGAGTTTGGGCACCCCTGATCCAAAGTGTTTACATGTGCCCTGGTAAAGTCCATTAGTGTCTATTTCTTTCATTTTTTACTTAAATTATTTAATCTCAGGGTGAGTCTTAAAGTACAACTGTACCAAAGAACATTTTCATGGCTATAAAGGATTTTACGTCCTGTCAATTGGAAATCAGCTATGAATGATCTTAAGATATTTCATCTATCGACAGTATAACCTGTTAGGATATAAATTTGTCTTACATTCCTTAAATTCAAACTGCTTCAGTCTTGTCTACACACTATATGATTGTGTATAATGCTAGAAAATGCTTAGGTTTGTATGAAAGGGCCAGTAAAAAGAAAAACAAAACATGCATTGTGTAACAAAATCATCAGTAACAGGTAGATCTGAAATGACTTATGCATGTTCCATGTTGGTCCAAGTGTTTGGAGGCCATGTAATTTCTGTATCCAGCAGAAATTAGTGTTTTTATAGCTGCATTAAGGCAGATGATTGGAAGACGTCATGGTGCATCAATCAATCAATCAATCAATCAATGTCTACTCATTAATATGTTAGTAAAAAGACAATAGCTGCTGTGCCAAAAGAGCACATTAGTAGCGTTTTATAATGTATAGGAAGACAGAATGTATATTTACAGAACTATATACACAAATATTAGGGGGCCCTTGGCATGGCAGCAATATGTGCACTGAAAATGCACGCAGGGCCATCCATTTCTCAACCTTGACATTTGATTGGTCCAGTATGGAGGAATATGGTTACAATGGGCAGGGGGGGGAAAACAAAATGCAAAAGACAGATGCATAGAGATAAAAAGGCAAACCAAGCATCTGAATTAAACGATTAAAAAAAAAATCTAAATCTACTTAGTGGCACCTCAGAGAAGAAAATCGTATAGCAACTAACCATGGAATTCTAAGCCCGAATGTGGGATATTTCGAAGACATAAAGCTATTTCATCTGTAACATTCAAATGCATTTACTTTTTAACAAAGTGGGAATCATTTTTGGTCATTTCCCCCCATATGTTTGTCGCTCTTAGGGCACATGCTGTCTCAACACAGAAAGAGCTGGGAAAACCCACCAATGAGATGCTCTCATCAGATTTACTCAAAAAAAAAAAAAAAGTGATAACAAAATTAACCTTCATATATGTGTATACAGAATCTGCTTATCTCTGACACACACTCCATCACAGCATAATGCCTTCTGAGATAAGTATACTGGAGCGCTAGCAGCCATTAGTCCTAGTCACACCAGTTCAGAGAAAATTAAAAGGTTTAAAGACCTATATAAATAAAGATCTATGCTAATAAAGATTTATGCAACAAAGCCTCCAACGATACTATGAAGTGGTGCCAACTGTGTAATGTGCTTTTTCTCCCAGCGCTAGCTAGGCAGAGAAAACTAAATAAGGTTTGTGTATCCTGCTTGCTCTGTTTGAAATGTTTAAGAGCGAACAAAGGCAGTAAAGAGTGTGACTGAGATACTTTTCCAAAAATTTTCTGGTTAAAATTGGTTTTAGCAGCATTTCCTGTGCGAGAGAAAGAGAAAAAGCCAGCAAAACTTTCTTCATTCCCTCTGTCTCTCACTCACTTTTCAAACATATTTCATTGTGCTGAGGCCCTGGAGTTCTTTCTGAAGCTCCCACTGAGAGAAAATCCCCATCATACCCGCGCTCAGAAGCACCCCTCATCTCTTCTGAGGTTCTGTGTGTCCATCACTCGTTAAATGCTCTGCTCTTGTGTCACCAGTCATTGTTCTTCTCTTACTGGAAAAAAAAAAAGAGAGGAAATTTGGGGATCAGAATGAAAATATTTTAGGTACATATACAGTGGGGAAAAAAAGTATTTAGTCAGCCACCAATTGTGCAAGTTCTCCCACTTAAAAAGATGAGAGAGGCCTGTAATTTTCATCATAGGTATACCTCAACTATGAGAGACAAAATGAGAAAGTGTATATAACAAAGTATTGAGATGAAATTTTGTTATTGACCAAATACTTATTTTCCACCATAATTTGCAAATAAATTCTTTAAAAATCCTACAATGTGATTTTCTGGATTTTTTTTTTCTCATTTTGTCTCTCATAGTTGAGGTATACCTATGATGAAAATTACAGGCCTCTCTCATCTTTTTAAGTGGGAGAACTTGCACAATTGGTGGCTGACTAAATACTTTTTTGCCCCACTGTACGTACATTTGTTCATTTAAAACTTACAAAACAAATGTCAGTTTCTGGGATGATGTCTTTGAGTGAAATGGCATCTTCGTTGCTTAACTGCTCATCTAAGCATTCGGCTCCAGTGCTGAAGAAGAGAGTGAGGGATGAAGGATATTTACTTTACCAAAATACTTTTTTCCCCAGTATATACACTTTTTTGTTCTAAACTCATTCACAAATTTGGAGTTGGTAAGATTTTTTGTTTTGTTTTTGTTTTTTAAAAGAAGTCTCTTTATGTTCATCAAGGCTGCATTTAATTGATCAAAAATACAGTAAAAACAGTACAATTGTGAAATGTTATTGCAATTTAAAATAATTATTTTATATATTTTAAAATGTATTTTTCCTGTGATGGCAAAGCTGAATTTTCAGCATCATTACTCCAGTTCTCCAGTGTTACATGATCTTTTAGAAATCATTCTAATATGCTGATTTGGTGCTCAAGAAACATTTCTTATTTTTATCAATGTGCTGCTAAACATTTTTGTGGAAAATGACAAATTTTTTCAAGCATCATTAATGAACAAAGTTTAAAATTATTTTTAAAAAACGTTTTGAATAGTTTGAACGACTTGCTGAATAAAAGTATACATTTCTTTAAAAAGAATGTCCCTTTAACAGTTTAATCATGAGAGGTGATGAGATGAGAAGTGTGTTTGTTTAGTTTTACCTCTGAGGGCCGCTGCTGTCAGGCTCAATGACTGCAGATTTGTGCACCTCCACCCCTACTGACCTGTTAATAATTATGCCATAATTATACATGGGAAGGTGAAGGCGTGCTATAGAGAGATTTCAACAAGAGAGATGATAATGAAATATAACAGGCAAAAAAAGACTGCAATACACAGAAAGAGAGAAAAAGTGACTGATTAAAACAAACAAAAAAATGAGAGAGGATGTGTGGAGGTACCTCTGAGGAGGTGAAGATGATATCATTCCTGTGCTGCCAGGTGAGGAGTTGGGGAGATTTGTTGCCGCAAACTCACTGGAGCTTCCAGCCAAAGGATCGGCTTGTGGGAGCAGGTCCGGTCTGCCCAACTGCATGCCTGAGAACAGCAATCACACAGGGAGTTATGATTTGATTTATGCTCCAAAGAAAGCACACTATAAAAGCCTAATCACACTACATCTGAATCACAGTTGAAAGTCATACACAAGAATATTTGAAAACAATGTATCTCTATCATATGTACTGTATGAATTCACAATGTTTTACAGAGACTTCTGTTGTTTAAAATTTTATATAAGGTTAGGATGATTCATTGCAGTATCCCAACTATTGTTTAAAGAATGAAGAAAATTCAAAAACAGGGATGATGTAAACAGTTTTGGTTGCATTACTCACCACTCTCTCCTTCCGAGTCGGTCTGGCTGAGGTGAGTACGGTACACGAGTCTGGCATCAGCAACTGTCTGTCCACTGGGAGCAGAAGCAGAGCTTCCCATTGGATGCCGTCTCACAACACTCGAACAGCCACTTCGGCTCTTCTTTGAGGGGGATGATTTTACTGGGAACGGAGAGAGGCTTAGTATGATGACTTCACAAAAATATTAAAAGCTCAATGTCTAAACACTTAAAGGGTTGGTTGAACAAAAAAATTACAATTGTCATTTACTCACCCTCATGTCGTTCCAAACCCATAAGACTTAAGGTATTTTTAATGTAACCTGAGAGATTTCTGTCCTTCCACTGAAAGTCCATTCCACCAAAACTTTCATAAAAACATAATTAAAGCAAGTCTTCCGAAGTGACACAGTTGCTTTGTATGACATATCATTTATTTTGGGTTCTTGATGAGCTGTTTGAATGTGCATTGATCAATGTTTATATATGAATAAAATAAAAATGAAATGAAATCTGTTCATTATATAAAGCAATTGTTGATATGGATTACTTTTGCAATGTATTTATGAACTTTCTGAAGCTTGACAGTTTTGATGGAATTTCTGCATCTCTTTCAATAGAGGTTTCAAAAATATATCTTCATTTGTGTTTCACAGAAGAGCAAATGTCTTATGCATTTGGATCAACATAAGGGTGTGTAATTGATGACTGCATTTGAATTTTTGGGTGAACTATCCAAACTTACATGTTTTCTTAAAAACCGTGCTGCACATGAAACGCTGGAATCGCTCAGCGTAGAATCCGGGCCGATGTACAGAGACCGTGTCCTACAACGTAAATGACATAAATGCTATTTCTCTCACATGGAAGCAGATAACTAAGTGCAAAATAACGATGATGTTTAATGTTTAAAATGACTTACAGGAACTGATGACTTACCCCATCGTGAACCAAGGCCTTCCAGGAATGCTCTATTTTTTTAATAAATCTGAGGGATGAACAAAAGGAGAGATATGAATGACAGTCACAACAAACATGTAAAGATGCACACTCAACTGTTGTCTGTGAGTAGTCACCTGTACGACTGTAATATGTCGATGATCCCAATGTAAATCAGTATTCTCTCTCCTTTACTGTTGCGTGCAGGGATTCCTCCCCATCTACAGACAAAACATGAAATTGGATATGTTAAATATGACTGCAGCCAAACTAAGCCAAATGAAGAAAAAATACAGGAGATTATAGGGTGAGACAAAGATGAAACGGGTTAGAAAGTTGAAGCGGGCAGAATAGGTAGACATAGACAAAATCCAGAAAACGGATGGATGTGTGAATGAACTGCATGGTTCCATTGAAAATCAAACAAAGAACATAAGTGAGTGAAATAAGATGTTGACTAACTGGTCCTCTGTTTCCAGGGTTCCTTTCCCTTTGGCCTCTCCCTGTATCGACTCCATAGCGGTGCAGTAGAGAGCTTTCTGAGCCTGCGGCCTCCTGTGGTCTGGTGTCACGGCCCCCTCGGACCCCCCACCCTCTACTGCCCCTGATCGCTCACGAGATGCCTGATCTGTGTTATGGATTCCCACCAAAAGGCTGTAGTCCATAATCTTAAAGCTTTGCAGCAGCTGTCAATTACAGAGATGGATCAACATAGGCAAAAGAGTAAGTTAAAATCAGTGTTAAAATCTTTTTCTTTCTTTCTTTCTTTCAATACAGGATGCATCTTTTAAAACTTTTGTTGCCAAATAGATTCAAAATGTTTAATGTAAAATATAATATATAGTACAAAATCTAGTTAAAAATTATTATTTTCATTTATATGCCCCAATATAACTAATAAACAGCAACATTTACATTGTATATGCTATTAATAAAACATTAATACGTGAAAAAATAAATGTCTTTAGGATACTTACTGGTCAAATAAAAAGCACAATAAAATTATAGCAATTGATTTATGGACAATTGTCATTTACTCACCCTCATGTCGTTCCAAACCCATAAGACTTAAGGTATTTTTAATGTAACCTGAGAGATTTCTGTCCTTCCATTGAAAGTCCATTCCACCAAAATATTCATAAAAACATCATTAAAGCAAGTCTTCCGAAGTGACACAGTTGCTTTGTATGACATATAATTTATTTTGGGTTCTTTATGAGCTGTTTGAATGTGCATTGATCAATGTTTATATCTGAATAAAATAAAAATGAAATGAAATCTGTTCATTATATAAAGCAATTGTTGATATGGATTACTTTTGCAATGTATTTATGAACTTTCTGAAGCTTGACAGTTTTGATGGAATTTCTGCATCTCTTTCAATAGAGGTTTCAAAAATATATCTTCATTTGTGTTTCAAAGAAGAGCAAATGTCTTATGCATTTGGATCAACATGAGGGTGTGTAATTGATGACTGCATTTTCATTTTTGGGTGAACTATCCAAACTTACGTGTTTTCTTAAAAACCGTGCTGCACATGAAACGCTGGAATCGCTCAGCGTAGAATCCGGGCCGATGTACAGAGACCGTGTCCTACAACGTAAATGACATAAATGCTATTTCTCTCACATGGAAGCAAATAACTAAGTGCAAAATAACGATGATGTTTAATGTTTAAAATGACTTACAGGAACTGATGACTTACCCCATCGTGAACCAAGGCCTTCCAGGAATGCTCTATTTTTTTTATAAATCTGAGGGATGAACAAAAGGAGAGATATGAATGATGGTCACAACAAACATGTAAAGACGCACACTCAACTGTTGTCTGTGAGTAGTCACCTGTACGACTGTAATATGTCGATGATCCCAATGTAAATCAGTATTCTCTCTCCTTTACTGTTGCGTGCAGGGATTCCTCCCCATCTACAGACAAAACATGAAATTGGATGTGTTAAATATGACTGCAGCCTAATGAAGAAAAAATACAGGAGATTATAGGGTGAGACAAAGATGAAATGGGTTAGAAAGTTGAAGCGGGCAGAATAGGTAGGCATAGACAAAATCCAGAAAACAGATGGATGTGTGAATGAACTGCATTGTTCCATCGAAAATCAAACAAAGAACATAAGTGCATAAGTGAGTGAAATAAGATGTTGACTAACTGGTCCTCTGTTTCCAGGGTTCCTTTCCCTTTGGCCCCTCCCTGTATCGACTCCATAGCGGTGCAGTAAAGAGCTTTCTGAGCCTGCGGCCTCCTGTGGTCTGGTGTCACGGCCCCCTCGGACCCCCCGCCCTCTACTGCCCCTGATCGCTCACGAGATGCCTGATCTGTGTTATGGATTCCCACCAAAAGGCTGTAGTCCATAATCTTAAAGCTTTGCAGCAGCTGTCAAGTACAGAGATGGATCAACATAGGCAAAAGAGTAAGTTAAAATCAGTGTTAAAATCTTTTTCTTTCTTTCTTTCAATACAGGAAGCATCTTTTAAAACTTTTGTTGCCAAATAGATTCAAAATGTTTAATCTAAAAAATAATATATAGTACAAAATCTAGTTAAAAATTATTATTTTCATTTATATGCCCCAATATAACTAATAAACAGCAACATTTACATTGTATATGCTATTAATAAAACATTAATACGTGAAAAAATAAATGTCTTTAGGATACTTACTGGTCAAATAAAAAGCACAATAAAATTATAGCAATTGATTTATGAAATCTTCAAAATCACACTACCATTCAAAGTTTGGAGTAAGTTTTTTTTTAAGAAATTAATATTTTTATTCAGCAAGGAGACATTAAATTGATCAAATGTGACATACAATGTTACTTATATTTAAAATAAATGCTGTTTTTTTGAACGTTCTATTGATCAAATAATATTTTTCCACAAAAATATTAAGCAATGCAACATATTAGCCTGATTTCTGAAAGCTCATGTGACACTGGAGACTGGAGTAACGATCCTGAAAATTCAGCTTTGCATCACAGCAACAAATTACTTTTTGAAATATATATGAAATTAGAAAGCAGTTATTTTAAATTGTAGTAATATTTCAAAAAAAAATATATATTTTTTTTTTTTATACAGCCTTAGTGAACATAACAGACAAAAAAAAACATTTGAACAGTAATGTATATTGTGACTATATATTATACATCGTCATAATAATCCTGGATTCTACATTAGAACTAACACAAGATAACGCTCAAACACAAGCATGCATGCTCACCAGGCAGTCCCTCTGGATGGTTTTGCAGAGGGCGTTGTAGTTGTCTGGTTCTAGCTGGATGCCCTCGGGCATATCCTGGATGAAATCCAGATCTTTGTAAGTGGGGACGCTCTTCTCTCTCTCTTTAGGGGAGGCACGGCGCTTGCATGTGGAGCCCTTCAGGTCATATTTGAGGTGCATAGGCACACTACGGGGCAACAGGTTATTCATTACAACGATACGGATGTTCTTTCCGCCCGCCTGCACGCAATACAAGCCGTAAAACTTCGGGAGTAGCGTTCTCTTGTTCTGATTCAGATTCTGAGTGGAGGAGGAGAGAGAATAGAAATAAAAATTCAGTAATAACACAGAGGGCCTAGATGTTTGCTACAGTTTGACTATTATGTTTCTTATTAAAATTATTAATTCTTTTAAACAGAACCTATTCTAGACAACAGTATCTTAAGTATGAGTGCACACTAGTGAGAAACACTCACCATGAAGTACCCAGGCAGTAGCTTCTGCAGGAACTCTGCCTCTTTGTGTACGGATGTTCTTTCCGCCCGCCTGCACGCAATACAAGCCGTAAAACTTCGGGAGTAGCGTTCTCTTGTTCTGATTCAGATTCTGAGTGGAGGAGGAGAGAGAATAGAAATAAAAATTCAGTAATAACACAGAGGGCCTAGATGTTTGCTACAGTTTGACTATTATGTTTCTTATAAAAATTATTAATTCTTTTAAACAGAACCTATTCTAGACAACAGTATCTAAAGTATGAGTGCGAAACACTCACCATGAAGTACCCAGGCAGTAGCTTCTGCAGGAACTCTGCCTCTTTGTGCTGCACTGTTTTAATAATGAACTCATCATCGCTTGTCACATAAAATATCGATCCACTCGCTCCAGGGTTGGACAATTCGATCAAAGGATCATTGCACAGAGAGTACTGCAAACAGAAAGAAACCACAAAAGCACATAAGGGGTTTCTCTTAGGAGAATCAACAAATAAAATGATATGTTGAATGGATCAATAATTTTTTACACTTTTTGCCAGTCTTCAGTGTCACATGATCCATCAGAAATCATACTAATATGCTGATTTGGTGCTCAAGAAACATTTCTTATTATCAACACAGTTGAAAATGGTTGTGCTGCTAATTTTTCTGTAGAACAGTAAAATAGAAATCTTTGGTAACATAAATGTCTTTGTCACTTTTTATCAATTTAATGTGTTTTTGTTGAATAACAGTATTAATTTCTTTAAAAAATATATATCTTACTGACCCAAACTTTTGAAGATATATATATATATATATATATATATATATACTGTATATACTGAACAAAGTTATAAACGCAACACTTTTGTTTTTGCTGGTTTTCTGACCCCCCCGGACCCTCCAATACAGTAAAACTGCACATTGTAGAGTGGCCTTTTATTGTGGCCAGCCTAAGGCACACCTGTGCAATAATCATGCTGTCTAATCAGCATCTTGATATGCCACACCTGTGAGGTGGATGGATTATCTCGGCAAAGGAGAAGTGCTCGCTAACACAGATTTAGACAGATTTGTGAACAATATTTGAGAGAAACATGCCTTTTGTGTACATAGAAAAAGTCTTAGATCTTTGAGTTCAGCTCATGAAAAATGGGGGCAAAAACAAAAATGTATATATATATTAGGGCTGTCATCATTAACGCATGTGATTAATTTTACAATCCTTAAAGCGTTAAAATAATTTAACGCAATTAATGCAAAATTACTGAAGTACAATTTCTATTCTAACCCTTTAACCCAATTTTGCTTCTCTGCTTGCGATTAGATCATTTTAAGCCGCTAAACTCCAGGAAAGTTTTCAGTCCACTGAAACCAGTAAGCGAATGCATTCAAACAATCCATCCAAAACAGTGCTAATATAAAGGAAACCAGCCTGATTGCATCAGAGATTGCAGAGAGAACAGAGACTTGCGTTGCATTTTAAGTTAATTATTAATTCCAGTGTGTTTCACTTTAAAACACGAGCTCTGTCATATTCTGTGATTGTCTCTGAAGAGACACGTCGTGCTGTGTGAAGTACAGGCTGAACGGGTTGTCAACACATCCCACCGCTGTATGGCCAGATGAGACGCAAACTACATTTTCTCAACTGGATAACCAGTCTCGCTAGTAAAGTTTTGATGGATGAAGAGGTAAAGGTAAAGGTAAAGACGATTGTGGTAGCGAGCAGGAGTCGTACAGTACAGTAAGCACGTGTGAGTCTGTTATAATAATGCATGTATGAGCTCTTGACGCACTGATCGCACATTGTATTTATGCACAGGCACTGACATTTCAGTACATTCACATTGTTTCCACACACATTCTTGATAATGTATTGGTTTGTCATGTTTATGTTGCTGTGTTTAGTTATACGGAATGAATCCATCTACTGTAGTAGATGTAGTCAGCAGGCGGTTGGTTTAGTTTTTATTTCTAATATATATTAGAGCCCGACCGATATAGCTTTTTGCCGATCTTATCGGCCGATATATCGGCCTGTCGCAGATATCGATATGCCTCCGATGTGATTTTTTTTTTACAGAACATAAAACGCAGATAAAATGCTTGTAAATGGTGCAATTACGTAATTACGTAGTTTGTCAAGCAAAGCACGCTCCATTGTTTGCTACTGGCGACCTGGATGAAATGCTTTAAATCTTAAAGGGTTAGTACACCCAAAAATACAAATTAGGCTGCGTTTTACTCACCCCCAAGACATCTTAGGTGTATATGACTTTCTTCTTTCAGACGAATCCAGTCGGAGTTATATTAAAAATGGTCTTTGATCTTTCAAGCGGTTTCATGGCACTCAGTGGGTGTTGCATTCCTTCAGTCCAAAAGACGTGAAATAAAAAGCGCCCTTCCATAAAAAAAAAGTGTCTCACACGGCTCCGGGGGTGAACAAAGGCCTTCTGTAGCGAATCGATGCGTTTTTGTAAGAAAAATATCCATATTCAAAATGTAATAATCACTTTAATCTAGCTTGCGCTCACTGTTGTAAACAAAGCAGTTTCGGGAGCATGACGTATGAGGTCAGCGTTTTTATTTCACATCTTTTGGACTGAAGGAATGCAACACCCACTGAGTGCCATGAAACAGCTTGAAAGATCAAAGACCATTTTTAATATAACTCCGATTGGATTCGTCTGAAAGAAGAAAGTCATATACACCTAGGATGCCTCGGGGGTGAGTAAAACGCAGCCTAATTTTCATTTTTGGGTGAACTAACCCTTTAAGTGTATGGAATACCACTGAAATTTTGAACGGCCATATCACCGTAATGGCGTGTCGGATCCACACCAAATTCGGTGGATCCCTTCAGCTCGAGGAACCCTCATTTGAGTGATCATTGAATTGAGTGTACGTCTCGAGGCCCCCTTTTGAATGAGACCACCCCTGTGTCGATAGCCTCCGGGGTCTGGAAGTTACGAGCGCTTAAATTCGCGGTCGGGCGCCAACCGATCTGGCGATCCCGGGCGGCTACCGACGCATAGAGGATGGCGTTTGTGAGGGCTCCTCGAGCTGAAGGGATCCCCAAATTTGGTGGAGAATCCTCCGCCAGATCTTTTGGTCTACAGTGGTGTGAAAAAGTTTTTGCCCCTTCCTGTTTTTTTAATTGTTTGCCTATTTGTCACACTTAAAAGATTCAGATCATCACACTCATTTTAATATTACAAAAAGATAACATGAGTAAATAAAAACTGCAGTTTTGAAATTATGATTTCATTTATTAAGGGAAAGAAGCTGTCCAAACCTGCCTGGCACTACGTGAAAAAGTAATTGAAAAAAAATCTAATAACTGGTTGTGCCACCCTTTGCAGCAACAACTGCAATCAAGCGTTTGCGATAAATGGGAATAAGTCTTTCACAGGAATTTTGGCCCACTCTTCTTTGCAGAATTGTTTTCATTCAGCCACATTGGAGGGTTTTTGAGCATGAATGGACTGTTTAAGGTCATGCCACAGCATCTCAATCGGATTTAAGTCTGGACTTTGACTTGGCCACAGAATATTTGCCCAAAAGTCTTGGGAATAAACAATATATTTTTTGGCAAATGTGAGACAAGCCTTTGTGTTCTTTTTTTAATCCATTTAACCATCATCATTTTCTGAGTTCAACATTAAATATTAAAATATTATTTAATACCAATTTCATCATATCTTATTCTAATCTTTATATAAAGATTCTAGTTTTATATAAACTTTTAATGGGTCAATAAACTTATTGTATGAATTTATTCTTACACCACCAGTTTATAAACTATCTTTACATGAGAGCTCAAGGTGTGAGTGTGTTTGTGGTTCAGCTAACCAGATAATCATCAGGTCGAATGCCAAAGAGTTCTCTGAAATAACGGAAGGCAATGGGGGCGTAGGTCTTAAACCTGAAGTCACCGTGGTGATGTGCTGGAGTCAAATTACTTCCTTCACTGTAGGAGGAAGACATGGAGGGAAAAACAGAGACCGGGTTATGAGTTTCTGTTTTATTAAATATAAAACCTGGCAAGCTGCCCATTATTCCGTTTGAAGATGCCTGTAATGACCAAAGACTCTGGTACGGTTGGCATGTCACTTGATTTATAGACACAAAGACTTAACAGCAGTCAGCACACTGATTTAAATACATTTAAATAGTCATAAATATTCAAATATATCTACAGAACATGGTTGAGTATTTCTGGGAAACATAAACACAAGTGGGAACACACACCTCGGGAAGAAGATGCTCTCTACAACATAGAAGTCCTGCATGAGGACGTCTCTTTCGGCTTTCTGACTGAGGCTGCCCACCGTGTGTGTGATACCCAGCTGGATGGCACCTTTGAGGGCGGAGGAGGGCGTCTACAGACAAACAAAGAGTATGAGAATGCGTGAGAAATGAGTGCAAACAGAGAGGACACACGGGAAACACTAGATACGTATCACAATGATTGTTTTAAATAACTCACAAATGAGCTGCTATGTAGGTGGTGTGGGAACATAATACATTTATAAACAACACCATAATTTCCAGTAAAACAAATTCTGGAACGTGTCATTATTAGTGAGTGGGAGATATAGTTATATAGAAAAAAAGTTCTTGACATTTTCTACTCTTGACAATATCCAACATATGTGTTTATTTTAAATGTTTAATCCAACAACTAAAATCAATAAATAAAATAAAAGCATGTTTTGCAGAGTAAAGAAAAAAAAAGAAATAAATGTTTAATAATTTATGCATAAAAATGTAAATTCATAGCAAAATACAGCATTCTTAAAAAAAATTATATATTTCCAAATGTGCAAGAAATCCCATATAATAGGCATAATGATATATCTTAAAATGATTTTAAATAATATGAAATGTATTTGGGGAAAAAACAAACAAACAAAACAAACAAAAAAAAAACTGTAAAGCACCAATCCAAACCAAGTCAAGTGCCAGATAAACTTTATTCCCTTCATTCTGTGCACCACTTCTATGATATTTACATGGTCCTTCTAGTAAAAATGCCATGTTTTCCACACACTTTATGACTAAAACACAATGATTAAAAATAATATTTTATATTATAATATATATATTATATTATTATTATTATATTTTTATGTGCATCAATTTAACAATACATAGTAATAAGCAGCAATATTACCAGATATGTACTATAAGATGATGATAATATTAATAATAACAGATCCCGGCCCCTATTTAGAGAGACAGAGACACAAATGAGTGACAGAGAAAAAAGGGAAACAGAAAAAAGCATCTGCTTTCATGTCAACAGAGGGGATTCAAGAGACATCAACTCTGTCCAGGTTTGACTTCCTGTTTGTCAGGTGTTTCCTAGAGTCAAACAAAGTCACACACATTCCCAGAGCTCGCGAAATCGCGAGCCCGACGTCCCGGGCTATTGTGTTTTCCAGTCGGGCCACCAAAATGTATCACTGCCCTGCCCGACGGGCTATCTTGAATAGTGATATAAAATCCCTTCCTTGATTCGCATTGTTCACTCACTTGTATGGGGTGACACGAATCATAGTTTATCATTTACACGTGTTTCTAAGTCTTACCAATTTAAACATTCAAGCGTTTTAAACCATTCATGCGTGTGAAGAATTCAGTTTGGTGCTCGCGCACACACGCTCAAATGGGCATACAGAGCAGCGTTTCAGGCAGAGCACGAACACAGAATTGATTCCTCTTTCGCTTGAACGGACACATACACACAAAATTATCTCAAAATAACTATCTCGGCAAGTATTTTCATGTCTTAAAGGCACAATGTGTAAGATTTTTTTATTAAAATATCCAAAAACCACTAGAACAGTGTTATATATTTTGCTGACTTGTGTACTAACATTATCCCAAATGTTTCGAAGAATGTTTAAATCCAGAGAAATAAGCAATTATAACTAGTGACACGGACCGTGTCTATAGTGTCGCCTGCCAACCACGTCGCCTGCCACGTCATAACCCCTCGATTTCCGGTTTTGTTTTGTAGAAAACATGGAAACACCAAAGACGCTTTAATATGTTGTGCATATACACACGACCGGAAGGAGCGGAAGCGGTCGACTGTGGCGTAATAAAAGCTCCTCTGCTTTCGAGCCGTGTGTCATGCTCGTTAAGTGGCCTCGTTTCGCTTCGACGGCTTTCAGCCTCACCCTGCTTTATACTACGACATTAATAAATCATTAGCTCATCTATGAACATGATTTCTGCCCGAGTCCTGTCGGACTGCATCGGCTGTGGGGATGAAGACTACAACTCCCATGACTCCACACTCAGTCACGGAGTCATCAAACTATGCCTTTGTCTATTTGTTTATTTTGAATACGCGCCCTCTAGCAGCGAAAATTACATATTGTGCCTTTAAATGAATGTAAACAGTGGAGAAAGAAATCGCAAGTGCATCATTACACTGGATCCATGCATTCGGTCTTAAAGGGGCAGCAGCCTATAAATACCTGCTGTTTAAGCGCCACCTGCTGTCAGAGAGTGACATTTGCGTCTCATTCAGCCCGTCTGCTGTTTTTGTTTCGTTCAGATTTTTTATGTAGTATCACAAAGCTAAAGTCAGACCATTCTGTTTTTGTTTCAAATTTCAAAATTGTACAATCTAAATAACATGTATGCAGCATCTTTGTTTGGATTGTGATTAAAATACACAGGCAAAACCTTAGTTTACTTGCATGGAGAAATTTCTTTTATTTGTATTAATTATTTATTTGATTTGGGATTTGTTTTAAAAATTCAAGTTAGTATATTGTTTGACATTTTCAATTTCACAAAGTAATGTGCAGCCTTTTGGTCTGAGAAATAACAAAAGCACACCTTTTTTTTAAAATCGGTCTTAAATCTCATTTTGTTAAAAAAGAAATTGTGAGAAAATTGTATTGTGAAATCAGTATCGTGAATCATATCACATCGTGAGTTGAGTGAATTGTTACATCCGTATATACTACTAGTTTTTGCTGTGGTATCGTAGTAGTAAATTGTTCTTTAAATAATAAGTGTCACTTAAATAATAAAGAACCTTTTTTTTT